AATACCTCCTTCTCCAGAACTTCCCTTTCTACTTTCTGCCCCAAAGGCGAATTTGGCTTCCAGGAGCCGATCACGGCCAGGTTATTCAGGGCACCCCCTCAAAGTGCCTGGGTCGGGAATCCCGTCCCACTCCTGGATTTTCCAAAGTCTCCCACCCGGCGCTCTTTTCCAACCAGCCACTCGAGGCAAAAAGAAAAAAAACCTCGCGGGGAAGGCGAGCCGGCAAATCCACCCGCAGGGCCTTCCAGATCCCCAGTTTCGACAACTCGGCGAGGCTTTGTGGGAAAAGTTTGCACCCCTCTCCCGCACGCACACACAAAGGGAGCCCTTCCCGGCTCAACTCTCCAGGCCCCCGGTTCCCCCCCCCCCCCCACCCTCCCTCCCTCCCTTTCGCCCCGGCCGCCCAAAGACTCGAGAAGGAGAAACCAACTTCGCTTGCGCTTCGTCCAAGCTTTGATCCGTGATGGTCATGATCTGCTGGAGGATGTCGCCGATATCTTGCTTCCGGGGCTCTCCGTTATCCGAAGGGGGCTCGTGGAGAGCGTGGGGGGTCATGGCTTGGACCCCCTGGACCGGGGGGTGCCCCGCGATCCCCACCGCCCCCCGCGCTTGGATCAGCCTGCCTGGATCATCCATGCTCGGCGAAGGGATCCCACACACACACACCCCCACTCTCCCGCGCGTCCACGCCGAGCCGCGAGCGAGCGATCGAGGGAAGCGATCGGGGCTGGCTGGCGGGCGGGCGAGGGAGCGAGCCCCGGCGGCGGGAGGACGGGCGAGCGCTCCGGCTTCGGCCGCCCGAGACGGAAGGGCGACGCTGAGGAAAGAAAAGGCTGGCGCGCTGCTAGTCCATCTTGGCGGTGCGCTCCCACGGCTCCTTCCTTGGAGACTTTGGGACTGGAAAATGGAGTCCCGCACAAGGGCTGGAGGAGGGAGGGAGGGAGGAGGAGGAGCTGAGAAGGGGGAGGGAAAAGAAGAGAAGGAAAAAGGAGGAGAGGAGCTCCGCTTCTTCCTTTCTCCTCCCCCCCCCCTTTCTCCTCTCCTCCTCCTCCTTCGGCGCCTCCCCCCCTGCTCTTGGTGCGCCCAGGCGGAGAGGCGCAAACTGTGCTTTTTATCTATATTTGCTGCCCTCCGCTGGCTTGGGAGAAGCAAAACGCCGGGAACCCGCCGAGCAGCCCCGCTCTACCAGAGCCGCTGCTCCTCCAGAGCCCGCCGGCTTCCTCCCGGAGGCGGAGAAGCCGCTCAGACGGAAGGAAAAGGAAGCAGAGGAACCGCGGGGCCCTTTGCGCACTCGGGGAGCGAGCGCAAGGCTTGGAGCGCCCCGGGCTTAACGCGTTTTCCGCGCTTGCCCCTTCCCGCTAGGGACGGTCGATCGAGGAAGGGGATCTTTCGGGATCGCCAGCTAAGCCTTCCCGCCTCAGAAGATCCCAAAGACACACACACACACACACCACACACACACGCGCCTCCCCAAACAGGGACCTGCTCTTTGCGGAAAGAGTGGCGCTGGCTTTGGCTTAGAAGGGGACAGTTTTTCTTCAGCCACCCAACCGGGGATTCGGTCCGCTTTGTCGCGCTGGGCTACGGCTTCGTGAATTGCGTTTTGAAATCAAAGGCACACTTCAAACCAAGTGTGTGTAGTAGGTTGAAATGGGAGCCTGCGCGGTGCTTGTACGGGTACGCGGCGTTTACAGGGATGCTCTTCTGCCACCGCCTGGCTTTTATTTATTTACGTTTAAGTGTTTGAACGTCACCACGCTATTAAAAAAAAAGAGATGTGGAGACTCTAGAAAGAGCGCAGAGAAGAGCAACCAGGATGATTAGGGGACTAAAACATACAACGAACGGTTGCAGGAACTGGCCTTGGCTAGTCTAGTGAAGAGAAGGACCAGGGGAGACATGATAAGCAGTCTTCCAATACTTGAGGGGCTGCTACAGAAAGGAAGGGGGTCAAGCTATTTTCCAAAGCGCCCGAAGGCCAGACAAGGAATAATGGATGGAAACTGAACAAGGAGAGATTCAACCTAGAAATAAGGAGAAACTTTCTGACGGTGAGAACAATCAACCAATGGAACAGAAGTTGCCTTGGGAAGTTGTGGGAGCTTCATCACTGGAAACTTTCTCTCAGAAATGGTGTAGGCCATAGTCTCCTGCTTGGGCAGGAGGTTGAACTAAATGAACTACAAGGTCCCTTCCAATTCTGTTATTCTGTTAAATTTTCATTGCTGCTTGTACACCGCCCAAAGTTGCATTCAGTGAGATGGGCACCCATATAGTGTTTTTTAAAAAATAATAATAAATAAAAGTAAGCTGTAAACCATGGTTTTTACATCTGTAATCACTGGGCTGAGAGACCTTTACCCCATGGACACGCAAACTGAAATAGACACATTACGGCTTTCTTGGATGTGTCAGCCCAGGGACTATGAGGTTGTACATTGCACAGAACTAGAGTTGGCTTAATCATAGTTTACTTGGTAAATTACAGTTGAGCGGTCCACATGGCGCTGAAGGTATTAATCATGGTTAACAGACCAGACGGACCTAAGCAACATCTGTAGTTTTGAAGGTTGTTTCCAAAACCGCAAAGAATTCCACTTGGTTAGCATCCTGATGATGTTACCTAGCTGGGTGGTGAGAAGTTTTCAAGGAAACAACCAAGTTCAAAGAGCACCAAAGACTCCACAGTTCAAGACTGAGCTGCAGATATTCTTTTCTATTCCCAAAAAAGATCATATGCTTAACATTTGCCCTAAATCCAGTTTGTAAGAGTACCGAAGCAGCTATAAAGATAAACGTTTGCTAAAGCAAAATTTAAAAAAAACCTGCATAAATAAAGTCCACTAAACTCACGTTTATTGTTTGAAACAAGGCATCCCAATCCCATACAAGCATAAAAGAACCGCAACATTAAATACTGGATATTAAATTTAGCCATTTTCTATATGATGGCTTTCATCATTGTAAAAAAAAAATATCAGATTTCAAATCTTCATGTTTTTACAAGCAGATGTTAAATCCAAGGGGATAAACGCCAGCCTTCTGGAGGCTGAGGAACAAGACCGGTTGATGAGTCTAGGATAATAGGATAGGTCTAGGATATCAGTATATGCAAATCAGACCCGTGTTTTTTCTAGCACATGTAGCATTCGTCCGATTCAAAAAACTTGTGAGGACAAAGGATTTGGATGTTAGGATGTGACGTTTCCTGGCAGCTTAGAACAGCAAAAGCTTACAAAATAATTGTCAGGTGCACGGAAACAGAACAATATGAGAGAGTTGATCAGAGCAGTACGTTTATTGCTACTTGCCTATTTTCAATAATCTTGCCAGACTAACTGTAGTCACTACAGAACAACTAAATAAGGACTCCAAGGGTGTGCATGTGGGGGGGTGGAATGTCTGTTTTATGTCATTTCCTCCCTTTCAGCGATTCCAGGTTAGCTAGTCTCTTAACTGCTCCTTCCACTTCAGTTGCAGATTGCACCACATCATAAAATATGCAACTCAACCCAAGTAACTTAATACAGCCAAGTAAGACAATAAACAATAACGTAAGAATACTGTCAAAACAATATATTGAAATAATGGACACCGAAGATTTAATTTCTAAAAAGTCTCCAGAATATCTTTCGCTTAATTTTGGACAGCCAGACCAAGGGAGCCAAGTGCTCCTGCAAAGAATAGAATAGGATAGGATAGGATAGGATAGGATAGGATAGGATAGGATAGGATAAGATAAAACATAGGGTAGAAAATAGGAGAGGACAGGACAGGATAGAAAATAGGACAGGTGTTGTGGCCAACCAGCGGCCAGCAGAACTGGCAGCAGATTCAGACAGTGAGGAGGTTGGGGAGGAACATGGACCAGTCCTGGAGTCTGTGGAAGGCTCTGACAAGTGCTCTGCGTTGGGTGGCACAGATGGGACCAGGGCTGTCCGACAGTTATCAGCTGTCTTCCGAGTCGGAGATCAGTGGGGCAGAAGAACAGCAGGAGCCTGTTCCCGATGTGGACATGCACAGAGCTGCCAGAAGAAGGGAACAGTTAAGGAACAAGGGTCAACTCGGAAGTAAAGGCACAGGTGGACGGTGAATGTCCCCTCCCATAGGGAATAAAGAGGAGCGAAAGGGGAGTGGTGTTTGCAGGAGACAGTTCATTTAATTAGGGTGAAGATTTATTCCTGACTCCTTGCCATGTATGTTCTGCTACAGCAATGTTTCTCAACTCGCCTGCTTTAAGATGGATGGACTTCAACTCCCAGAATTCCCTAGCAAGCTAAACTTACTGGGGAATTCTGGGAGTTGAAGTCCATTCATTTTAAAGTCTTTAAGGTTGAGAATCACTGTGCTATATAGCATTGTGCTTGGAAGCTATCGGCCTGGCAACTCTCCAAGCTTGATAAGGTCTATGATTGTAAATCACTCTTGAAAGACTGTTTGCCGGGACTTGGCTAGATGTGAATGAGAGGAATTCACATTAGCGTAAATAAAAGGGGTTTTGTCCAGACGAAGAGTCCGCTTTGTGGTTTTGTGAAGCCAAGGTCAGAACAGCAGAACAACAAGAAAGGATAGAATAGAATAGAATCATAGGATAAGGACAAGGATAAGGGTAAGGATAAGGATGAGACTGAGACTGAGACTGAGACTGAGACTGAGACTGAGAATAAGAATAAGAATAAGAATAGAGCTAGAAGGGACCTTGGAGGTCTTCTAGTCCAGCCCCCTGCTCAAGCAGGACCCTATACCATTTCTGGCACGTGATTGAAATATCTTAGCCCCAAGCCATGTTGGGCATTATGAGTCAAACACTGTAATGCCATGTGCAAATGAGAGATAGCAGTAGGGAATATCGGCAACAGCACTGCAATTTTCCAGAGAGAAGGGAGCACATTCCAGACAGGGGCCCAGCACATGAGACTGGACTGTCCTCAACTGGCTGAGGGAGGGAGGAAAAGGTTCAGGGTAGGGACACAGCCTAGAATCTCCCAGGGTTAGAAGGTTATAGCTTTAGTCTGTCTAGATTCTGTCTATCAGACATAAGCAAATGAAGAAGTGGACTCGATTGGCCCTCCCTGGGTCATCTTTGGGCTCAGGTCTGAAGCAGCCATTTCAACTTCCCCCCAGAAACCTATTAGCAGCCAATGCAGCGCCTGCACAACGGGCCTACTGCAGCTTCTGGGTGGTCTTCCAAGGCAGCTCCATGTAGAGTACATGGCAGAAGTCTAACCCAGCAAGCAATAAGGGCATGAGTTTTTTGTAGCCAGGTCCTCCTGCTTTAAGAAGGACCACTCGGTGGCATCTAGTTTCTACCGCCTGGGAATCCAAGAGAACCCCAATTCACAGAGTTGCTACTTTATGGGAAGTGCTATGTGTTAGAGAGATGACACTGGGACCAGCAGAGGACAGCAAAGCACCAAGAGCTTTTAGCATCTTCCATCCCATCCAGACCTCCACATCTGTTGGACAAGGATTTGGTGACCTCTCTAGAATATCTCGTATGAAATGATGGAATAAGAGTTTAGTCAAATGAATGATTCATAACTGATAAATATATGTTAGATTGTCAATTTGAGAACCTTTACAACTTGCGAGTAAGGACTATGAAAGGATAGCACAAAAGATTTGTAACCAACTGACACACTGTATGTATATAACTGGAAGATGGTTTTATGTTTTTATGTTTTTGTCTGTATATGTTTGTCTTTAAAAAAAAATAAAAAATAAAAATTGGTGACCTCTGCAGCTGGCACTCACTCGGAAGGCAATTTAATGATGCGCATTTCTAAGTATTGGATGGCCTCTCCCAGAAGCTTCACATTAAACAGGAAGAGCAAACCCTGCACAACAAAAACACCCACAAGCTGAAACCTTCTACCAAAGTAGGAAATGTCTCTGATCCCCCCACAACCCTT